TTTCTTACGGCTAGCTACAAGGAATAAAACAATACTCAAGTCTGCAGGGAAATGTACTTAACCCATTCTAGTCAAAGCATCTGGAGTAATTCTGCACAGATATGACAGGGACCACGTTTAACTTTAAATAAAGAAAACTGGCGAATGAACATGAGCACATTTACAACACTGTATTTCTTTGTGTTTGCTGAGCAACCCTTGTGTGTCAAGGATCAACACTGAACTCACGAATAATTCAGAAACAAACAAAAATGGGCCAAAATATGCACACACTCACAAAACCCGCTGTACTCCAGCCCTAACTGTTCACCTGGAGATGAAAAAGAAGCAGGTGCTCACCGGTTGGTTGTCAGTGAATGGAGGGAGCTGATTGGTCAGATGGGGGTGACTGAGAGGACAACAGTGACTGCTGCTTCTGAGTTGCACATTTAACCAGAATGCAGTGGAAACAGTGTTTACAGGTCCTTCAGCCTGTATAGTGGTCTAAACAAACTGTTTATCTCCTTGGTGCAGTGCCTGCAGCTACTACTGCCTGTCTCATTAGAAATTAACTCCTAGCATTTTTTAGCTGAGATGACAGGTTTTATGCAAACACAAACAACTCGTGCCATTTTTCCTTCACTGAGACTGAACATGAAGCTGTGCTTTGCTCCACTAAAGAGAAAAATCTTCTCCCTCAGGCTCTGCTGTGACAGCTGAGATTATTTTGGTCAGTAAATGTTACTGCCTGGCTGACAGTGGGTCAAAGTTTTCATCCTTCATAATGCAAAGAGTGGGAGTCATTGACAGGGAAACAGCCATGTTGCTGCTCGGCGTTTGGCCTAAACAGGGCTCACAGTGCAAACATCTGGATGCCACCAGTCTTTGGGTTATGAAAAGACAATACAGTACAGCTTTGATTGTGCTGCTTAGACTTTTTTTTTGCATGGATGTGCAAGTCCAGTCTGTAACAATCCACTGCTTCATCCAGCACAGGGGAGAAACATAGCAGGTTTGACCTCTTCACAGAGCACAAGATCACACTTTTCACAATTATGTTACAAAGGTGATGTTATATTTAGTCTGTGAAGGGTGCAGTGTCATTCAGAAGAGCAGATAAAAAGGTCATTAAGTTTGAAACAATACGTCTCTTTCCACAAACCAGTCTTTCAGGTGTGTCCTCTGGCTTGGTTAGGAGGCTGCACTCCACTCTGGGACTCCACACCTGATGTGTGTGTGTGTCTCTAGTGTGTGATAAAGAGGAGGAGACAGGTTGGGTGTGTAGCGAGGATACTCTCTGAGAGGAGGGCTGAGCTGCCTGCTTTGAATGTTTTGGGAGCTGTGAGTCAGTGGTCCAGAGCTCTGGCTTTGATAGGAGTCATGGCCAATGTGTTCTCCCAGTGGCGGAGAGCTTTGGTGGGCTCCAGTGCTGAGTCGAGAGCCCTGAGGGCTGGAGCAGTAGGGAGGATGAGGGGTATAAGGTGGGTAGGGGTCCATGGGGGTCATGGCAGAGGGGAGTGGGCAGGTATAGGACCAGGATGTACACCGGAGTTCATCCAGTCTGGGCTCTGAGCCAGCAAACATGCAGGCCTGACGCTGTCCCATGTCTGAGCTATAGGGGGAGTCAGTGAGACCCAGGGCAGGGTTGTTGGATAGATTGGGTGGAGGCGGAGGGTATGGGGAGGGGTGATAGTAAGGCTCGCCCTCACTGGGTGAGCTACCAGTGAAGGGTTTTTTGTAGGAGCACTGACGGGTTCCTGTAGAGCAGTTCTCCTCCACTACAGAGAGACAGAGACAGCGAGAAAACGTTGTGTCCAAATCACAGTGTATCAAAAACCTTCAAGTTTACAAGTTCTGTGATCAGACAGTTTATGTTATAGTCTGTACTTTAGTTGGACAAACTGCTTGTATAGCTCCTGGTTTTTACACATTGCATTTTAAGATGTTTGGCTTCTTCTGTTAAATGAAAAAAGGGTTATACTTTATAAAAAAATTTAGATTGCTCACAGCAAGTCTCTCTATTTGTTACAGATTTTCTATTAGCTGCTTATTGATGTACTGTATGGGAATAAATTCACGCAAGCATGTGCAAGTTATAGACATAAAAATAAAAATGATTTCCTATTAATCATGCATGCAAAAGGAATAGTCTAGGCACCGCTGTAAACCACCAGATGGCCAGGAGCAAAAGGAATAATGCAAAAACATCCAGGCAGCCACTGGTTTGATTACAGAAGGCATAAAAAACCTGTATAGGCTTAAAGTTTGAAGCCCTTCACTGCAAAAAAGGTAACATTGTCTGTTGTTGTTAGTTACATGTAATGTACATCCATATTTTTAGGCCTAAATATATAATGTTTTTGGTCAACATCTCTGAAATCTCGGATGGCAAAGCATCTTTGAATGAGGATGCTGTGAATTGGTTGTGACTTAAGTATAAGTAAAAAAAAAAAGAATTAATCAAAGTGATTAACCCAGTTCGAAGCCTCAGATTTTCATACTGGCTACTTTAAAATTAATACATCATTATTATTTGTAGTTATTGGGCAAAAACATATAAAACCCCAAACAGAGACGTAATTAAAATGACATTTAGCACAAACTGTTTTGGCAGAGAACCACAGGTTATAGGAATGACCCATAGTAGTTTCTTCTTTGAAATAAAGAAGAATTAGAAGGTCTAATAACAGTAATAGTTCCTCCTACCTTTCCTCTTGGTGCAGTGGTAGACCTGGCCATGCTGCAGGTGAGGATGGGGTAGGGTGTAGTGTGCGGATGGAGTGCTTAGCAGCTCCTGAGGACTGCTGCTACTTAAGCTGTTCTCACAGCTGTAGGGGTACCCGACAGCCTCTGGAGAGCCCTGCAGACCCCGACCCTCCTCAGTGAAGGGACTCCCGGTGGAGCAGGTTCTCTGACGGACGGTGCTGCGGGGAACCACAGGATAGTCCTTACTGAAACAGAAGGAAAGAGGCATTTTGAGAATCGTAGCAGATGCTACTGTTTACACCTGATGTTGTCATCGCCTCAGGTTTGCTGCACAAAACCACCTTTTCTGATTTGCAGTAAATTTTGCCTGGTTGTTGTGTTTGTGTCCTTGTTTCCCCCCCCTTCTTTTCTTTCAGGTCTAGTTAGCTGTCCTCTGTCCTTCAGGTCTGATCTATCTCTGAGCACAGTGCCCTCTTGGTGAACTCTGTGAGATGTGAGGGGACAGCAGCCTACATCTCCAGGACTCTCGTTGACACACACGCTCTCACACACACACACACACACACACACAGAGTCGGTGCTGTTGTGAGATAATTCACTGCTCTAAAAATAAACATCCCTCCATGTGTCACCTCAGATAGACTCCTCTGCTGCAGCACAATAACACAGGAGTGCTGCATTTACTGCACCCTCACTTCCTCTGCCTCTTTCCTCTCCCTCCATCAACACCCTCACCCTAGAGTCTCTAAACTGGCTGTCACAACAACATGGAGTTGTTGAATTGAATGGAGATTAGTCCAGCATGCTAACAGACATCATGTAGGGCCATCAGCTGATCAGCAGTAACAGTGCAAAACATGATATCATCTGTCTACCGGTGCAGCACGGGAGCTGATGCTCGGTATGTTTTGCGTTTGTGCTGCATGTTCTGCATGATGTTTCAGGCTGTCAACTTTCAGGTGACAATGGCTGATATCGCTCTCTCTCACACACACATATGTGCACACTCATGTCTTAGACCATATGTACCTCATCATAACAACCCTTCCCCATGGGTAAAGGAGGAGAGAGAAGAAGAGAATTTGTTTCCTATAAATGTCCACAAACACGCAGACGCTAGAAAAACACACAACAAAACTGTACTCACCCATGTAGCTTGGCCATGCGGTGCAATTCATTGTCATCACTGCCTCTGAAGCCCTTTGCAAAAGGATTATTCTCTATCTTCAACTGTGTAATCTGAGGACAAAACAGAAAATCTTTAACGCAGACACAGCTGTTACACCACAGGACAAACACATTGTTTTGTGCATGCTCGCTGAGTTTTATAACTGTTCTCTGCATTGACTGAAAGTCAATAGTGTACTACTATTAAAGTCAGAGGTGCAGCTGATGTTAAAAGCAACCCTGCTGAAGCTCTACGCTGCCAACATTCCTCAGACCCTGACGCTTCGAGTGGACAGCGTTCTTGCCAGCTGACACAGAATAAACTGTTTACCCAAACAGTCGCCAGGTTTAAGGATTTCAGGCCAAAGCTTTTAGAGTTCCAAAGTCGGGAGCTTTGATGTTGAGTCCTCAAACTTTTCTCACTGATGTCATGAAGGGAAGCCTTCGTGTTCTGAAGGATTTCATTTGGCTAAAGACCGTGTGCATCATACACCAGGCAAGTGGACTGGAGATCTGACACGAGCACAGGTCCAAACAAACTCTGAAGTGCTAGTGATGTTGACACTGCCCTCCAAACTATGGACTTGAGAACCCTAGTATTTATTAAAATCTACATATGTGATACCAATAGTGTTTGTTGCTACAGTTATGAAGTTCAGGATTTTTTCCACAATACTCAGTATACTGAGTACTATACTAATTGTATAATACTAATAGTATTATACAATCAGAATATTAGAACTCGTGTAGTGCTCACAACCAAGTCAACGCTCACTTCCTACTGATTCTCACTACTTCTACTTCTAATGCTGCTAGTGATAATATCAGTCAGTAGTACAGGTGACAATACATTATATGTATTTACTGCATTACATTTTTCCTGTATTTGTGTATAAAGAAACTAAAAATGCTATTAACAATTATTAAGTACTACTTAAGCTGCTCAGTGTAAATAAAATAACATGGTTTAAACTTGTTTATACACTATAAGCTGCATTTACTATTGTAAATAAATTAATGCAAATACTTGCAGCTTTATTTTTGTTTTGTTTTTTTACACTTTCAGTATATAACAGACAAAAGCACAGCATACCAACATCTGTCTTTGTAAAAATGAGTCTTTTTTTCTAACAAGATATGAAATTAAGAAAAACAATAGCAAAACTTTGTATAAATTATGTATTTGTTTATGTTATTCATGATCTCTTATGAAATGTGCTAAAATTGCTAAGCTATGCATGTGAAACAACAAGGCTTCAGTAATCTCTCTTTCTAGTAGATGTCAAGGAAACATCTGCCAAGACCATGGGAAAGAAACAGGTTATCTCTTACACACACACACACACACACACACACACACACACACACACACACACACACACACACACACACACACACACATACACACACACGTACACACATACACATGCATGTGCACAGAGATCATCTATTTTTTGGACATGTTTACAAATACTGAGTATGATCACGTTAAACCGAGGAGATGCAAATTGACTTTCTGGATCCAAAATACAGAGAGTAATACAAACACAGAAAGAGAGAGAGAGATTTTGACTGTAACCAGTGAAGCAAAACTTTTTACACTTATGTAAACTGGAACAAATTTGACAGCAGAATAGATCTGATTTACACACATAAGACTTCCCATTTCTATAATTGTTAGAATAAGCATGGGGTGGCCTTTAGCTTCAGTCTGTAAATAAGCAATACAATTCATATTCAGACAACACTCTTGTATTCTTATTACATTCCTACAGGGACTTGCAGTGTGTCCCTTAAAGCTCACAGTGATCTTACTATATTTTACTTTTAAAAGCCCAATGTTCTTATTGTGGTTTCTTCCATAAAAGAGGTTTAGGTGGCTTCATTCTAACACATATGTGGGTATGACAGTTCCTCACTTCACTGTTTCAGTGGTGTGCCCTGTGTGTGTGTATGTCCCCACAGGCCTACCTTGTGGTTCTGGTAGGACGTCACAGCGATGAAGGTGGTCTCAGAGAAAACATGGGTGCAGAAAGCTGTGTTTTTCGAGCCGAAGCCATTGTTCTCGTCCGCCTTGACAACATGGAGGCGAGGCTGGTATTTGTGCATGGAGTTGAGTATTATCTGCACAGAGGGGAGAGAGAGAGAGAAGGCGAGGCTGACAGACCTGTCATGTAGCCACAAACCCACCAGCAGATGTTAGGACTCCACTGGAGGCTGGGTGGAGGGTAAGCACACCTCAAGTCCAGAGGTCCTGGTTGATATAAATCTTAAAGACAGATTCATGGTTTACATAGTGGCAGAATCAATATCAGGCTACAGGGTTAAGACTGCAGGCTTCACAGGACATATTAAAAATTATGTCTAAATTTAAAAAACTTGAATCCATGTTTTGGCCTCACTGATCATTACAACAGGTGGTCTCCCGCAGCACCGTGGTAGTCTTCTTACCCAACTACCACTGCCGCATTTTGATCTCTTCAAAAGGCAGGAACGTTGCTAAATTCAGGTTGGACATACCAGCAGTGGAAAACTATAACAACTCCGTGCATTCTGCGCACAATCTAAGCTATTGACCACGCCACTCTCAATCCACAAGCGGCTTTTAAGTGGATCACGGCCCTCTGTGTGAGGGCGCGTGCACGGGCGCGAGGTCTGGGGGTGCAGTTTAATCGCAGTGACGTGGCCACTGGTGGCATGCATTAGCTAATGGACATCAGAGCCAGTGGAACCGTTGCTTCTAATTTACAAAGCTGAAAAGATTAGATTTGTTTGTTTGTGCGCGCATGCACAAACCCGCTAAAAAAATAGCCTACTTGCTCGCGCGCTTTTAAATAGACTGAATACAGTATGAAAGCTGTGCATGGTGAGAGCGAGTCTGTCGCTCGGTCCTCGGGTGATTTGTGCTGTGTTGTCTGTCGAGTTCCATTCATGAGCTGCATGTGCTGCTGAGCGCAGGAGTCACCGAGCTCCGCGGGCTAATGGCTGCGCATACAACCAGACCGCTGGCTGTAGTTTGGGACCACATCACTCAGAGTTATTTACTTAAAATGCGTGACTTATATGAGTACTTGATGAGACCAATTAGATTGAGAAGATTATTCTAATATTTGTGTCATCTCCAGTGTGCGTATTGTTTTTTAAATGACGGCTATAGACCAAAAACTGCACTCCAATGGCTCAGACTCATTTTGAAATTCAAGCATAAGAAAACATTATCTTGTCTAGTCTAAAATAAATAAACCGCATTTTAAATGTTAGGCCATTAACAAGACAGACTCACGTGTCCAAAGGGGTCCAGGTGGTTGTTGGTGAGTTTGAGCTTCTGAAAAGAGACGAGCTGGCGGCTCCAGTGCGCCCCGGTGGCGGGAGAGTCCGGGTGGACGTAAAGCCTCCCAGGCATCGCGGGCTCTGCCTTTCCTGTGATTGACCTATGGGTGCGAAAACGCAGCAGATCAGGGACTGGTCGGGGCCTGACACAGTAGGCGACAGTGCCGTGTATCCAGTGTGGTGCTGGAGGCCTGCCTTGTGCTGCAGAAGGCCCAGCTGCTCTTTTAATTAACCAGGCACAATATCACAATGTTTTGCGTTTCCACAGACAGCCACATCTGGACCAGTCCTACAAATTAATCCGGTCTAATCCAAACCTGCTGCAGTCCCCCCGTTGGGAAGCGAAGAAACTCTCAATCTCAAAAACACCTCGAATTACCGCAACCAAAAATAAGAACCACAAATATCCAGGAGAGCTGGAAAATGAACCATCTGATAATTAACATGTGGCTGTTTTCTCGCGTCCTGACAGACAGGACCAACCTCTGGGGCTTTTCGTTCGGCGTATTAATTTTTAATCAATGTATTAAACGCTTACATGTGAACTGCTCCTTATGTTTTTACACTTGACACTTCGTAAAAACTAAACCAAACTAAACTAATCATTACATTCAATAGGTCCACAAATAACTAAGGGACTATAATATTAATAACCAACAGGCCTGACTGATAGAGACTGATAGCGTTTACAAAGTGTGCAGTGCGGTCAAATAAGGTGACTTGGCAAATGACAAAAAATATTTTGGAAACAACTTTGAAGTCTGATATAGTAGTTCACTCACCCACACTGAACTTTAGACTAAATGTGTTAAAAGTGCCCGCAGCCTAACGCTGACTTAATCACTGAGCGCCTCCATTACGCAATCGAGCTTGGAGTTTGTGGCACAGTAAAATTTATCCACAAACCAGTTTCCGGCCCGTAACATTATTATAACCGAGTGTGTGACGCTGTGGAGAGTAGGAGCATTGATGGGTCTCACTGCAGAGTCAGTGGTCTGTCAGGATTTTCTCCTCAGCACAGCACCAAGTTGAATGAGAGACTTTAATCCGGTCTGTGTCCTCTGTCCGCCCGGTGAACCCTTCATACTGTGATTTAACCGGCGGGCAGACACAGGGGGGAAACACGGGGAACTAGGCCATCCCAGTCTGGAAGAAGGACCCGACCTTTACACAGTGCAGAGACGGGGGGTGGAGTGGAGGGTAGGCTATAACCATGCACAACAACACAGATGTCTGGTTTCAGAGAAATAACCTACTTTCATCGAACGTGAAAAAAATAATGACAGGTTTTCCAGGCTGTTCAGTTTTTTAAGCAGTCGTCTATGGTAGTTGTGTAGATTTGCTTATATTAGCCTTTAACGTGTTTTTATGGGGGTTGCAGTTTGCTGAGTTTGGATTTGGTCGATTATAAATATGATGATCGATGATAAATATTAGTTATAGACCTACGAACCATTTGTTGTCTGCGAATTTGTAGCGGTGGTCATCCCCGGGCACAATGTCCATGAGGAGTATGTACTTGGTTTTTGGGTTGAGTCCCGTCACCTTCACCTTGTAACTGGGGAACATCCTCCTGCAGGGATCACATTCAGGATTCATCAGTACTGACGTGCCACAACAAGGAGATCATAAAAGAGTGATAACCAGAAATACACTCGTCTGAGAAAAACCATTTCCTCGGGCTTGGCAACATGTACATTACACATTTTTGTTCCAGAAGACCTGCAAGCGATTCATAAAAATCTTTGTTGGCTCATTCAACAGCGTTTAAGAAGGCGCAGATACGAGACTCGGCTTAATTAAGGAAACATGATCAATCAAATATAAACAAAGTCAGTCAATTTGATCTGTTTCTTCTCTTACCTTCCAGCCTTGGTGATGATCATTTCAGTTCCCACTTCATCAAACTTCATCCAAAGTTCCCTGTCATGAAGGAAAACTTTGATTCCTTCCATCCCCTGTAGCAAAATATAAACACTGCTCACTGCCACTGTTAGAGAGTCGTCAGGATACATGCTTCCAAATGAAGCACACCTTAAATTAAAATGTCCAAATGTACCCAAATAAAATTGTATATATATATAATTTGCCACCCAGACAGACAGGAAATAATGATTTAGCCTTCGGTAAATTTAGTTAAAGATAACTGCTGCACACTGAAGTGGATACCGTCTAGGATGAATCAGTAATGTATAAAGTTAGCTGAGCTCAGTAATCAGCCACCAGTGTTTATGATCCACAGCACAGACCGGTACCTGTTGGCCGGAGGCCGTCTGCGGTGACACGGGCGAGTTTAAGGTGGAGTTGGGATTTTCCTCTTTGGTCTCTTTCGGAGAATCCACGCAGTCCGAGTCTGGACGCTCAGCAAGGCCGAACTGGTCCCCTCCGTTTGCCATGACCTACTGACGCGCACGCACACACGCATACCCACAAAAGGTCAGGATTATGTGCCTTTAGCGTTTTGGATATGGTTTGTCATGGCTCCCACACGCTCGCTACTTTTATTAGTGTGAAACGTGATAAGAAACGAGCCATTTGACAGACTGTGGGTCGTCATTGAACATTTGATATTATTCAGTAAAAGAAATATAATTAGAAGCATGTCTGTTTAAGCAAAAGACGTCAACAAAATTTTAAATATTCAATATTAATTTCTGCATGTGTTTAAAAATATGACAGCTAATAAGAAACTGCTGGAAACAAAAAGAGGTGGTTAATGCCAATGTGCCTACAGTGATATTGTGGTGAAACTCCACTAATAGCTGATGTTCTTCTCTTTGCAAAATTGCGTAAGAACAAAGCTTACTCTCACTGCTCTACGGTGACTTCCACTGTTACTGATCCAATAACCCATTTAGAGGCTTCCACTTAAAAGATTAACTGTGCATGAACTTGAACTTTAAGTGTTTTCCAAGACGTCTAGCTCACAGGATATAGCGTGCTATCATAATATCCTATTTAGACTGTGTGATGGCGGCCTGTGTTGTATCCTATCTGATCAAACGAATTGCATCATTATTTAAAATAATGTGCCTGATACGTCGATGAGCCTTTGATTCCAAAGCGCTGTGAGTTAAACAACATGCTGGTTAGAAATGGAAGCAGCTATGAAAGTGCACATCCCTGACATAATATAAGTGAAATACAGCCCGTGTGTGCGTGTGTGTTTTGGATGTTTTCTTTGAGGGCCTTTACCTCAAAAGCACTGCTCTGCTCTCCCGGTTGAAAACACGCACATCCTACTCCTGCGCGCTCTGGACGCTGCTCGCTTATTTTGTGACTTGGTTTAATTTCGGCTGATGTGTTTTTTTTAGTCCAACTGTTCAAATGTTACCCTGTTGAATCTAAAATCCACGATGTTCCTTTGAGGTGGCATCCGGTTGTTTCTCGCTCTGATGTCCGTCTCCCTGCGCAGACCGGGGCTCGGCCGCTGCGCTGCGCCCGTCACCTCCGGCTCCAGTGCAGGTTCCTGCACACTCGACTGTAATTTCTTCCTCGTTTATCTCGCCTCTGTCTTTATGGCAGTCGCGGACACGGCGTCAGCCCTGATCTGAACCCTGCTCACCACAGGATTCATTACAAATGGAGTCAAGTCCGCCTCATATATTCTGCCCTCCCCCTCGCGCCGTCCCTGCGCTCCCATAGGTCTGCGCTGTGCATCGGTATCCGCAGCCCAAATCATGGCTGTGACACTGGCCAATCATACACACACACACACACACACGGAGACATATAGGTGCACATATACATTAGGTGCACTCGGTCAAGAATGGATTATTTTCCAAAAGCATCATTATTACTTTTAACCTGTGCCCCTGCAGTGTTAATCCCTTATTGGCCACTATTAGCCCCCGTAATTGGTATTGTGGCACACAAACTGACTGTTGACTTGTTTTAATTAAAGAAAATCGGAATTCTCCATTTAACTGTCCTAATTGGCCAGACACTCTTGTTAAAGTCGGAAAAAGTAAACTTTACTTTTGCATTAAGTCTAATTTAACCTTTGACCACTGCTGTGAGGAAGACAACAGGTCAAATCAGGTTGAAATCGAAAAGGACAAAGAGATCATTAAAAAGTAATTCATCCTTAGTCCTACATTCTCAAGAAAATGACAGACCAGAAAATGACAAATGTTATTTTTACTGGTGGAAAAGATATTGGTATCCCCACCAGAAAAAGTCTAACTAATTCATGCCAGAGCCAGATTTTTCGAGTAAAACAAATGGAACAATGGAACAACTAGTCCTGCTACATATCAACACACAATGTGACGTGGATTTGTTTGGTTTGTGCGTTCCCTAAAATTATGAAAACCCACAGCCAGCACATAAGATATACAGTATTATCTCACGGCAAATTGTAGATCGAGGTACAAGAGGCATAGCAGCAGCAAGTTGACGTGAACGCGCATCATTTTCACTGGATTACGGTGGATGCTGATTACTGGAGGCATCCAGAGTTGAAAGTTGAAGGGGTCACTAGGAGGTCAACATGCCGGCTCCCTCCCTTATGTCTACTGATTTCTACGACCATCTCCAGTTACTCCCTGCATTCTTGCAGTCTGCTAATGAACAGTGGTTACAGTTTTGAACAGGTTATTAGTCACCATTCTCGGATTAATAACTTACACTAAATATCTGTGATGTTCACAGCTTGTGTCGAGATACATAGCATGTCTGAAATAACAGTAGAAATGAATATCTTATATTGATATATTAGATTTGAACAGAGATTTAGACTATACAGTATTAGATATTTTTAAAGATGTGATTGGACAAATTAAATATTATAGACTGTTAATTATTCTCGTTATTTGGGCACCTGCATGTGCCCATTTTCAAAAAGCGCCTGCAATTCTTACGGTGTTTAAATATCAGATTTTCCGGTGATAGACCTCCGGTTACCAGCAGCTCGGTGCAAAGCTGCTCCTGCAGTGAGAGCGCGCCGCCGCTGGGACACCGGATCTACAGTATGTGTGGGCGCGCGTGTGTAAATGCTCCAGCAAGCACGCACGGACTCATGCGGTGACAGTGTCGTTTCTGAGCTGTTTTCTTTAATAAATCCCATTTTCCACATCCTGCAGGGCGGATTATAAAGTGCGACTCAAAAAGGTTTTGGTGTTATTGGGTTAAAGTCAATAACTTTGTTCGAGCATCAAGAAACAAGACTTTGCTTTGACTACACTTTTACAATCTTAAACGATTTTAAAGTAATTTTTAAAAAGCTATTAAGAAAACACATAGTGTATTATTTTAAGAATATTTAGCAGACATTTGCTGGCAGTTTACAATGATTATCCTGAAATATATATCACATTCATGTTTATTTACAGTGGAGTTTGGTTGGTCCACGCGAACTGCTGCGTCCACGGGCCCCTGATTTGGCAGCAGACGTCTAAATGCTCACATAAACATTTTTTTAAATAAAAAAAAAACTTGTTTCGCATTTATCTGACAATGCTTTAAGAACTTGGAAACCTTTGAATGGTCTGAATGAACAT